CATAATGATTTTCAATACCAAGGATACTTGGAGAATGAGTATGAAAGCAACGTATTATATTAAGCATACATTTAATTTCATTGGAAAAAAAAAAAAAAAAGGATTTCCAAACGTGGATTATATATAAAGTCAATCCTCTGGAGTTGTGTTATGCGGAAATCAGGAACCGGTAGACAAAATTTTCAGAATTATATATATATAAATATATATGCTGTTAAATTTCCATATATAAGGACCTAGACTTCCCTTTCTTTAAATAAATAAATAAAAGCCTTCATCAAGAAACAGTTCCAGCTCTTTACCAAAAAGTTCATATTTATGTTATAAAATGTATGATAAGGAAGAAGAAGAAAAAGGGAAAAAAAGGAAGAAGAAGTGCTGGCCCAGAGGTAGAGTGAGAGAGAAGTGGAGTAAAAATGGAGGATGAGAAAAATTTGAAGCAGCTCACTCCGATCTGAGCTCGGGTAACACATGCATGGGGGTTAGGAAAACAAATTTATTTAGTTTCTTTCTTGTTATAAAGTGTGGATGATTGATCTTGGTTCTTTGGTGTAGATTTGAGGAGAGGAGTGCTTCAGACTTTGAGTTGAGTTCGGCTGAGCTGAATAGTGAATGGATCAAATGAAAACCTTCCTTAAAAATTCAGAATTTATGTTTGCATGTTAATTTTAGTTTCGCATTTTTGCGTTTTGATGAATTTTGAACTGAATGTGAGGCTTGCCGAACTGGCTTTCCTTTCAGTGCTTTGTGATTTAAAACGGAATATATTTTTTCTTGCTAGTTGTATTGCATGCATTCGGATGATTTATTAGATGGTGATGTTGGTTGGGTATTGTATATGCATGCAATCGGCTGGACAGTATGCTAGAAGATGTTTGAATTGAGTTTTAAATTGAAATGTTGGCTGTGTGTGTGTGCTTGCATGTTTTCGGCTGGTTTACCTTGGAGGAATTGGTTGGTTTGTTTTTTAAAAATGTTGGAAATTTGGGCGGTTGGGGTGGTAGTTGTATTGGGCTGTTGACAGTCATTTTATAGGAAAAAATTGAAATACAAATTCTTTCATTTATACATGTTCAATGTTTGTCCAGCCAGAAGGGAAAATAAATGACAGCTTTTTGAAGGAATGAAATTATATATTTTTATATATATTCTGGTTGCATTACACTCGGGAAATTGATAAAACTCAACAAAAAGAGGGAAAGATTAACTCACAATCTTATGTCACATGCGCCATTTACAATAGAATTTATATATAACAACTTGAGTTCAAGAAAAGAAAGAATCAAATATTACTACACATAAGGAGAAAAAAAGAGAAGGAAAAAAGATAAAACAGGAGCAATATATGCTTAGAGCCATTATCAATAACAAACTTCTTAAATTACTCCATGTATCACTTTCAGTTTGTTTGTACAATAAGTTCGCAATATATGCGTAGAGCCATTATCATTAACAAACTCCTTAAATTACTCCCTGTATCACTTTTAGTTTGTCTGTACAATAAGTTCCACAGATTTGCTCCTTCCATTCTGCTGTATAATATTAGTTTGTCTACACAATAAGTTTCACAGATTGCTCCTTTAATCTTGCTCCATAATACTCCCNAGGTGTAGCGAAGCCAAATAGCGACAACTAGAGAGAGTGAATAGGGAAGAAGAAAGAAAAGAAAGGAAGAGAAAGAGAAAAAGGAAAGAGGAGAAAAAAGAAAAGAGTAGGAGGAAGAAGAAAAAAAGATAAAAGAAACATAGAAGAAGAAGAAAGAAGAAATGGGTTTAGGAATTTTGAAAAACCGGTTTCTCAAATTGGCTGAATCGTTAACCGAACCGAAAAACCGGTACAAACAATTTTTTGAACCAAAATCAAATTGATTTTCGGGTTCGATTTCAGTTTGGTTTTTCGATTCAGTTTGGTTTTTGGCTTTTTTTCCTAGCCCTACCATTTTAAAGATGTTTACTAAAATATAAGCTTAATCAACTATAACGACAACATAACATTTCAAAAATAACTTATTTAACATGTTTCCTAGACATATATGCAACATATCAAAATTTTATATTTCAAACAACTTTCAAATAAATAAACTTTCATTTCAAAAACAAGATATCAAGAAATCCGTAAAAAAAAGCGCTCTTCAAGATCACAAATTCTAGTGTTCACTTGAGATTTTAGACTGGAAGCATGGACTTCGAATAATGATACATCTTTAACTTCTTCAAAACCCACACAAATATATGTATAAGAAACATGTTATTTGGGACATTTTCAACCTTTAAATTAAAATTACGAAAATTGAGTTAGGCTATTTTGTGAGATGCTTTCCACTTTGGGGCTAGTTTTTATTTAACAGCCCAAAATGGGGCTAAATAATATAATTTTTAATCTCCAAATACACCCCCGCAGATAATGTCACATATTTTAAAGATAAGAGATAATTAGAGTACTCAATGTTTAAAAAATCCGTAAAAAACAATGAAATGACCATAATATCCTCTCCTCGTATATTTCAATAGTTAAAATTTAATACTATGTCATCAGTTATTTTCTGAAAATTAAACTAAAATAATATAATGTAATTTTTATCATTTTTAATAAAATATCATTAAAATAATAAACAAATTGCATCACAATTAATAAATTATACACGATATTCCTATATAATTTTATGATGGGCACCCTAGGCCAGGCCTGAACATGGCTTGGCCTAAAATCACTAATGAGTAAGCTAATAAATTCAAGTTGCTTATAAGCAACAATAACTTCATATGACACGAATTGATCTTAGGGTATGCTTGCGTTGAGATTTAAGAGGAAGAATAAAGTATACCAATAATCTCAAAGCAATAATTAAATATTTTAAACTAAGGATTCTTTTTAATAAAAAATAAAAAATAAGATATGATAAATTGAGAGGATAATCCGGAGGAACTTCAAGAGCAAGTGAGGGTGTTTGGAATTTTATTAACCTACGAATCTCATGATAATATATAAATATATTCTTTTTTGAAAATAAAAAAAATTATACATATATAGTTCTAAATAAATAAGTTTATTTATAAGTTCTTAATAAAATCATTGCAACTTCAATTTCAAATTTATGTAGATGAAAATATTTGTTGAGTATCAGTGCCATTGATTTTTGTACTTTAATCTAGTAAACAATAACTACAAATCAAGAGTTGTTCACTATTAATAGCTATATCTATTTCAGGCAATTTAATTAACTCAAATGTACTGATCTGCCATTATAATCACAGGTCCCCGTGCTCGAAGAAGATGGGTTTGGTCAGTATTCAATAATCTTTGGCTCCATCGTTACTGACGAGGACACAATTGAAGAGCTACTCTGGTCACCTTGTTAAGATTTTCAGATAAAGAGTATTTGTTTTACATTATTTATTTCTAATGTATATTTTTTATTGGTACAAAAGTGTCTAGAACCATACTTCATTCATTCACTGATGTCTTCATCATAATTTCTTCATCATAATTTCGTATTAAGTTGCTCCTATTATTTTCTCCAAATTAGCTGTTGGGGTAGACAATTCTTTGGATCGGGAGGCAAGACAATTCTTCATAAAGACTGGACACAAGGCACAAACAACTCCCGAAGTTGAAAGGAAAGAGTTCCTTGGTTCCCTGGTTTTTATTGACTTATTCAAGACCACTCTCCTTCCAAGAAGTTCTACTAATTGTGAGGTTTTACATGACACCCTTGAGGTTTAGTGATTAAAAATGAAACCCATAGGTTTCAGAATGAAACTTACATCCTTGTAATGGAATGATGTTTGTGAAAGTAATACTATCATAAAGGAAACACACGACAAAAAAAAAAAAAAAAAAAAAAAAAAAAATTATTTGCCAGATGTCTTGCGAATCGTCAAGTTTAATATTTTTAAATCTTTTAATAATTTAATATTGTCATACGACAAATGTTAAGTATTAACTTCTTTTTATTATAAGAGAAAGATAAAATAAGAGTTATTAATCATATACTAAGATTTGTGTCCAAATTAACTTTTAAAAAACGTGTCAATATAATGGTGTAAATGTTCTATTATGAAAACTATCGATGTACGTTTCCATTTGAAACTTGTTGGTTTGTTGTTTCTTTACTAAATCTCAAGGGTGCCCATAAAAAACCTCAATCTCAAAAAGTCACGCAAGGTTTGAAATTTAACCCTTTTATCAAGTAACTCTATATTAGAAATAATCTACTGCATCTATTTGTAACTTTTTCTCCGTTTTGATTAAATAACACGACGTTGACATCTATAAAATTGTAATCAACAATTTGAACCAATCTGTCTAATTTATTATTTAATATTATTGTTTAGACATTAAGTGATTATATGTTCTCAAGAAATGGGATATTTATCTTTCAACCTTGAGATTTGGTTGTGTTTATCTTGCTTGGGTATATAGATAAAACACTTAGTCTTCTTATCGCATTAGGAATTTTAAAGTATATGTTTCATTAATATGTCATATTTACCGTTACGATGTTAAAAAGTGGGTTACACAGCATAATATTGTTATATGATAGGACTAATTGTTGTATCTCACATTACCGGAGTAAGGTAGTATACCTCAAACCTCAGGGATAAAGGTCAATATCCCCAAAGAAATGACGTGAAGTCAACAAGTTTTCAGCTAACATTAAGTTTATTCTATCAAGAAGGAAGCCAACAATTAACTAGTTATGGAGTCACCAGAAGCCCGATTTCAGTAGCCATATCGTCTTGCTATCTTGTTTTTATTCAGATTTTGCACAGCCTAACACCATCCATCTTCGCATCCTATCAGAGATGCTCAAACAATAGTATCTCTGGCAACACCTTCAAATTGGGATTTTTAGCCCTCCTAATTCAAAGAACCGCTATCTAGGAATTTGGTACAACTTGAAACTGAAATGATCGTATGGGTAGCAAACAGAAATACGCCACTCAATGATTCATCCGGGATTTTTACCATATCTGAGGATGGTAATCTTGTAGTATTGAATGGGCAAAGAGGTTCTTTGGTCATCAAATCTTCCAATTTCACTCACTAATGCAAGTGCTCAGCTTTTAGATTCTGGAAATCTTGTGTTGAATAATAGCAACAATGGAGAAAAATTGTGGGAGAGTTTCCAGGAACCTTCCGATAAGCTATTGACGAATATGAAACTTACTGCTAATGTACGAACAGGTAAGAAAGTGCAGGTGATATCATGGAAAAGTCCTTCTGATCCTCCACTGGAAGCTTCTCAACTGGCCTCCATGTTTCAAACATTCCCGAAATCTTCATTTGGAATGAAACTCGACCATATTGGCGGACTGGTCCATGGAATGGCCGAATCTTTATTGGAGGGCAGGGTATGAATTCTGTTTATCTAGATGGATTTAAACTTGGATTAGAGACCAAGAAGGAACTTTTATTTCAGTTTCTCGTTTACAAAAATTCCTTTATCACACTATGTCTTGAACCACAAGGAAAACTAGTAGAAACACTTAGTTGATGGGAAGGATGATTGGATTAGTGGTACTTCTTTCCGAGAACGGAGTGTGATGTTTATGGCAAGTGTGGGGGATATGGAAGTTGTGAACATAAGAGAAAGCCAATTTGCAGCGTTTAAGAGGATTTGAGCCGAAGAATAAAGAATGGAACAAAGGAAACTGGACTAGCGGGTGTATCGAAGGAGACTATTGCAGTGTGAAAGGATAAACAAAAGTGTGAAAGTGGGAAAGGCAGATGGGGGAAGATGCCAACGATGAAGGGGCCTGACTTCGCGGAAAGTCATCTGCCCTTGAAATGAGTGCCGAGACGGTGCTTGAATAATGCTCCTGCGTAGCCTATGCGTATGATGTTGGCATCGGTTGTATGACATGGAGGGAAAACTTACTTGACACACAGAATTCTCCAGCGAAGGGACCAATCTTTACATTCGTTTAGCACTATTCAGAACTTGGTATGCTGAATGCTATTTGATTAATTTTCTTCCACGATTTTCGGTTTTGGGGCTACTAATACTATGTTAAAAGGCAAAAATTTCTGTTGTTAATTTTGGTCTGGAAAATTTTACTTTTTGTTCTCATCTGCGATAATAAAGACTTGACAGTATATTTTAGTACACTGATAGTAGGAATGGTATTGATATGTACATTTTTCTCATGGAGGTGGATGGCGAAGCGAAAGGTAATTTTAAATATTAGCTTTACGAACATGATAGATTTGTAATTTCCCCTGATGTGCATCTCTATGTGATTTTATATCAGCAATGAAGAGAAAGGAAGGTACATCTTTGAAAAGGGAACGTATACAAAAGTTACTTCTAAAAATATAGACCAAGTTGATTCAGGACCTGCCACGTTCAATTTTGAGGAGCTGGTAACTGCAACAAGTAATTTCGATTTAACCAATAAGCTTGGACAGGGTGGTTTTGGCCGGTATACAGGGTAATTGTTTTGCTCATCAAGACTTTGTTGCTGCATCCTATTTAATATTGCATAATTCTTGATTTGTTTGTATTTTAGGGGATCTTAAAGATGGACAGGAATAGCAGTGAAACGGCTATCAAACGCGTCTGGACAAGGCCTAGAGGAGTTTATGAATGAGGTGGTGGTAATTTCCAAACTCCAACGTAGAAATCTCTTTAGGCTACCGGATGCTGCATTGAAAGAGAAGAAAAGATGCTGATTTACGAATACATGCCAAACAAGAGTTTGGATTCTTTTCTCTTTGGTAGTTCATCATAATACTCTTCCTTTAATCTATAAAAATCATTATCCGTAGCATATTGTAGCATCTCCACTCGCATCACAGTACATTCAAGAAGTTTCATCCTAAATATTGGAATGGTGTTCTAACATCTTTGAATACAATCAAATAGATCCCCTCAAACAATACTTCTTGGTTGGAGAAAACGATTTGACTCATTGAAGGAATAGTCGAGGAGTCCTTTATCTTCATAAGACTCTCGATTGCGGATTATACATAGAGATCTAAAGGCAAGTAACATCTTTTGGATGAAGATTTGAATCCAAAAATTTCAGTTTGGTATGGCACAATTTTCGAGGCAATCAATATCAACCACACTTTAAGGGTTGTTGGGACATAGTAAGTAGACTGCTTGTGCTAAATTCAACCTGGTTGTAAAATCATATAAGTGTTGGAATTTTGAATTGTGCATGGTTACATGTCCCCTGAATATGCAATGCAAGGGCATTCTCTGATAAATCTGATGTCTTCAGCTTCGGAGTACTGTTATTAAGATTGTTAGTGGCAGAAGAAACACAAGTTTTTGTCATGACGATTATTCTTTGAGCTCTTCCAGGCTATGTAAGTCTCCTAAACATCTCCCTTCTATAATGACTGATATAGCATCTAATTATGCATCGATTCAGGCATGGAAATTGTGGAATGAAAACAACTTGTCAATTAATTGATCGTGTATCTGCTCCATGCTTTGAATTGGAGATCATAAGATCATTAATGTGGGACTGTTGTGTGTCCAAGAATTTGTGAAGATAGGCCAAGCATGTCAACTGTTATATCCATGCTAAGTAGTGAAATTGTTGATCTTCCGACTCCGAAACGGCCAGCATTCACAGAAAGGCAGAATGCCTTTGATACAAGTCCTCTCGACAGAGCCAGAACTGTTCTGTCAACAATGTCACTGTGACTTTTATCCAAGGCCGATAGAGACCAATTTCTTAAGAGTAACAATTTGATGAGAGTTGAAATGTCAACATTTAACTGGCCCTATGATTTTTTCTTTGCTGAGGTATCGGTTAGTATCTTGACATTAATTGTATTGATGGTAATACTGAGGAAGAGGAGATAGATTTCGATGTCATATCTATGATTTTATAAGAGTAATTTAGAGAGTTGAGGATATCGAACCACCATTGTTTACTCTAGGTGATTGTCTGTACATATCTGATATAATGACTACATAAAGCTCATATATATATTACTAAAATTTAAGAAATATTCGACAATGTTCTTTTATTTTATTATTTTTTATCAAATTATTTATCTTTTTTTTTTTTTTATAAAAACATGATGATTTTAATACCAAGGTATACTTGGAGAATGAGTATAAAGCAACGTATTATATTAAGCTACATTTAATTTCATTGGAAAAAAAAAAAAAAAAAAAAAAGGATTTCCAAACGTGGATTTATATAATCAATCCTCTGGAGTTGTGTTATGAGGAAATCAGGAACCGGTAGACAAAATTTTCAGAATATATATAATATATAATTATACACACTGTAATTTCCATATATAGGACTAGACTTCCCTTTCTTTAAATAAATAAATAAATAAAAGCCTTCATCAAGAAACAGTTCCACCTCTTTACCAAAAAGTTCATATTATTTATTTATAAATGTATGATAAGGAAGAAGAAGAAAAAGGGAAAAAGGAAGAAGAAGTGCTGGCCCAGAGGTAGAGTGAGAGAGAAGTGGAGTAAATGGAGGATGAGAAAATTTGAAGCAGCTCACTCCGATCTGGACTCGGGTAACACATGCATGGGGTTAGGAAAACAAATTTATTTAGTTTCTTTCTTGTTATAAAGTGGGGATGATTGATCTTGGTTCTTTGGTGTAGATTTGAGGAGAGGATGCTTCAGACTTTGAGTTGAGTTCGGCTGAGCTGAATAGTGAAGGATCAAATGAAACCTTCCTAAAATTTCAGAATTTATGTTTGCATGTTAATTTTAGTTTCGCATTTTGCGTTTGATGAATTTTGAACTGAATGTGAGGCTTGCCAACTGGCTTTCCTTCTATGCTTTGGATTTAAAACGGATATATTTTTTCTTGCTAGTTGTATTGCATGCATTCGGATGATTTATTAGATGGTGATGTTGGTTGGGTATTGTATATGCATGCAATCGGCTGGACAGTATGCTAGAAGATGTTTGAATTGATTTTTAAATGAAATGTTGGCTGTGTGGTGTGCTTGCAGGTTTTCGCTGGTTTACCTTGGAGGAATTGGTTGGTTTGTTTTTTAAAAATTTTGGAATTGGGCGGTTGGGTGGTAGTTGTATTGGGCTGTTGACAGTCATTTTATAGGAAAAAATTGAAACACAAATTCTTTCATTTATCATGTTCAATGTTTGTCCAGCAGAAGGGAAAATAAATGACAGCTTTTTGAAGGAATGAAATTTATATTTTTATATATATTCTGTTGCATTACACTCGGGAAATTGATAAAACTCAACAAAAAAGGGGAAAGATTAACTCACATCTTATGTCACATGCGCCATTTACAATAGAATTTATATATAACAACTTGAGTTCAAGAAAGAAAGAATCAAATATTACTACACATAAGGAGAAAAAAAGAGAAGGAAAAAAGATAAACAGGAGCAATATATGCTTAGAGCCTTATCAATAACAAACTTCTTAAATTACTCCATGTATCACTCAGGGTACAATAAGTTCGCAATATATGCGTAGAGCCATTACATATACAAACTCCTTAAATACTCCTATCACTTTTAGTTTGTCTGTACAATAAGTTCCACAGATTTGCTCCTTCCATTCTGCTGTATAATATTAGTTTGTCTACACAATAAGTTTCACAGATTGCTCCTTTAATCTTGCTCCATAATACTCCCCCTAGTTAGCATGTATGCCAATCATGCCCAACTTGCCAACAAGACAACCAAATTGCTTACTAGCCAAAGGATTCGTAAAGATGTCTACAACTGCTTTAAGTGGAAAATATGCTCTGTTTTAATCAATCCTTTTTTATCTTTTCACGAATGAAGTGGCAATCTAACTCAATGTTTTTCGTGATGTTCCTGGGAAAACGGTTTGAGCTGCAATATGAAGAGCGATCTGATTGTCACAGTATAAAATGCCTGGGGTGGATGAATTAAGACCAAAATTAGCCAATAAAGATGATTTAGATGTGAGAGTTGTATCTCCTCTATCAGAAATAGGCAAAGGCAACACAGGATGATCAGATGGTAAAGTATAAGAATCACGATATGGAAAAACATATTCATGAAATAAAACAACCCTAGAGGTATAGATGGTTCTTGTTTCAAGATCATAAATTTTGTATCCTTTTTGTCCGAAAGGATACCCAACAAAAATGCCAGGCTTGGAATGGCTGGGCATCGAATTTTTGTTTTTGAGGAGAAAAATTATGTGCAAAACGAAGACATCCGAAAACTCTAAGATGAGAATAAGAAGGGGAATGCCCAAGAAGCATTTTATAAGGGATTTTGTTATTTAAAACAAGTGTGGGAATTTTGTTAATTAAATATAGATAGCAGTAGAACATACTCTCCCCAAAAATTTTGAAGGAAGATGACTTTGGAATTAGGTTGCAAGCAACATCAAGTAAATGACGATGTTTACGCTCCACGACCTTGTTTTGTTGAGAAGTGGCAACACAACCACGTTGGTGGATGACTCCATGAGACTTAAAAAAATGTTGCAAATCTTTCGAGAGAAACTTAGTCCCATTATCAGTGCGAATACCTTTTATGGGAAAAGCATGTTGCAAATCATCACTTTTTATCAGTTTGTGTATTTTTTACCTTGGTGTTATATTGAGTAGAGACGAAGGAAAAAAAAAAAAAAAAACATTTTAACACAAAGTGAGTTATATGTGTTTCATCAAGACAAACCCAAGTGCATTAACCAAAGTCATCCATTAATGTTCTGTTTCTCCGTTTTACTACACCATTATGAGATGGTGTGCCAGGCAGGGTTTATTGAGCCATAATACCTTGCTTTTAAGAAATTTAGCAAATGGACCAATACCATTTCACCACCTTTATCAGATCTCACAATCTTAATTTGTTTTCCACATTGTTTCTCTACTTTTGCTTTATATATTTTGAAAACATCTAATGCTTTCTCCTTGTGATGAAGCAAGTAGAGATACATATATCGTGAGTGATCATCAATAGAAGTGATGAAGTATTTCTGACCACTAGAACTTATGTTAGGGCAACAAATATCTGTGTGTATGATTTCTAAAAGTTTAGAACTCTTCCTAGCACCTTTCTTGGATTTGTTAGTTTGCTTTCCCTTAATGCAGTCTATACAAGTATGAAAGTCAGTAAAGTTAAGAGTTTCAAGAACTCCAGCATTTACCAACCTTCTAATCCTATCAATAGAAATGTGTCCTAATCTCCTATGCCATAAAAAATAAGAGTTTTCACTCATAACAGTATGTTTAATACCAGTACTAGCATGTGAAGTCATTAAACTATAAAGAACTGTCAGGTTTAGAGCAAAAACAGAGAAAAAGAAAACAATAAAAGAAAAGGAAGAAGAGTAAATTGAATATACTTGTATTTTGTATATTTTTCTCTTAAAGAATACAGTTTACAATGTGGCTTTTATAAGCTACAGTAAGCTCAGTAAACAACTAAAGGATAACAACATTTACCGGTAGTAACAACTTCTTAACAACCTAATTAGGGCAATTAACAACTGCTTTTAACAAACTTAACAACTTAACAACAGCTTAACAGATTCTTAACTTCTTAAATAATATCTTCCTTCAAACTAGACTGAGTAAGATTCTTAACATCTTCTCTCAAACATAGCTAGGTAAACTCTTCCAATTCCTGATACTAATATCT